AGCAGAGCTCATTATCATTTAAAGGAAAATGCTACAAAAACGGCTTGCTCTGAGAATAGCTGTTTTTGACAGGGTAAAAAAGGTGTTTTTACACTAACATTGAGAAATTTTAACCAAACTATGTTACAGACTTTTCATTAAGACCCTAAAGAATCATATCAACTTGTGGAAAATGGGCATCCTATGACCCCTTTAATCAAGTACACACACGCACACATACAAATCTCATGTAATAGAAAAATCACATAAAATGACACGTTTCACTGTTCAAACGTACCATCCGCTCCTGTTTCCTTTGCTATCGCAAACCAAGCCGCTTCTCTTTTTATGTGATTTTTGTAATCTTTTAAAGTTGTGTAAACAGGATGATGTGACACTACTAAAATTAGCGTTTCCTCCATTTCTGTACCGAGAGGTCACTTTGTGACGTTTTGATCTTATATTGGTCTCACGCATTCACGTGACGTGAATTCGCAGGTCAGAGTTCACCAAATATGAACTTTGCTACGCAGTGAAATGCAAAATATCTTCGCCCGGGCGTTTCTGGTCTGACGCATTTGCATGTGTATGAATGGAAGTCAATTATAACAATTAAATATAGCAATTTGTTATATACCAGAAACACAAACCATCTACCAAATCAGTTCTGGTGTACCTCAAGGTTCTGTTTTGGGCCCTCTCCTCTTTATATTTTATATGCTACCAATTGGACAAATAATCAAACGCTATGGGTTTAACTTCCACTGTTACGCAGATGACATTCAAATTTATTTTAGCCCACCTTCCACCTCAGTGTTTCCTCCGCCAGCATTAACAAATTGCATCAAGGAACTCAAGCTTTGGCTGGAGGCAAATGACCTTAAATTTAACTCTGATAAATCCGTAATTCTGATTGGCTCTAAAGCTGTTGTATCTAAGCTCTCTGGTCAACTGATGGCTCTGGATGGTGATCTGATTATGCCCTCCACTAAAGTTCGCAATCTTGTTCTCATTGATTCCACTCTTTCATTCAATGATCACATTGGTAAAGTAGTAAAGACAGCTTTTTTCCACCTGCGTAATATCTCTCGTATTCAATCCTCTCTCAGTCAGCAGGATGCTGAAACTGTTACACATGCCTTTGTCACATCTCAACTAGATTACTGTAATTCAGTTCTTTATGGCCTGTCAGCTAATCATATCAAACGACTACAATATGTTTAAAACTCTCCAGCTCGCTTGATTACCCACACAAAAAAGAGCGATCACATTACCCCAATCCTCTATCACCTTCGCTGGCTTCCGGTTTCCTTGCGCATAAACTACAAGATACTAATTCTCACTTATAAAGCTCTCCATAACCTTGGTCCTACATATTTATCTGACTTACTCCTGCCTTATGTTCCTGCCCGCTTATGATCTTCTAGTGAGGGATTGTTAGTGACCCCTAAGTTTCGTCTGGTGACTATGGGATCTAGAGCTTTCAGTGTTGTGGCTCCCAGATTGTGGAATGCTCTTCCCCAAAACATCCGTGAAGCATCCTCCCTTCTCTCCTTCAAAAACCTCCTAAAAACACATTTTTCTTTTGAGTATTACTCTTCAGTTTTCAGTCTGTAATTTGTACCGTTATGGATGTTTACCTACGTTCTCTCTGTATCTCTAATCTAACTTTGTACGTGGTCTCAGTATATTACTCTCGGCTCTTGGTATGTGTTCTGTCTTCTGGTATTGATGTTAATTTGTTTCTGTTCCTTAAACCTGACTTGTAAAGTGACCTTGGGTGTTGGAAAGGCGCGATATAAATTAAAATTATTATTAAGTCAATGGAACGAAAAGTCTAGTGTGACCGCGGCTTTGTTTTCTTTCTCCAAACACAACGCTTCTTATTTGAACCCAAAAAGTTCTATTTTGGTCTCATCCGTCCACAAAACATTTCTCCAATAGTCCTCCGGCTTGTCCACATGATCTTCAGCAAACTGCAGTCGGGCAGTGATGCTCTTTTTGGAGAGCAGTGACTTTCTTCTTGCGACTCTGCCATGCACACCATGGTTGTTCAGTGTTCTCCTGATGGTGGACTCATGAACATTAACATCAGCCAATGTGAGAAAGGCCTTTAGTTGCTCAGAAGTTACCCTTCTTTGCAACCTCGCGGACTATTACACGTCTTGCTTTTGGAGTGATCTTTGTCGGTCGACCGCTTCTGGGGAGGGTAACAGTGTACAAAGTATGTATTTTTGTCTAATTTTTTGATCGGATTCTCTTTGTCTGCTTTCAGGACTTGTGTGAAAATCTGATGATCTCTTGGGTCATATTTATGCAGAAATATAGAAAATTCTGTAGGGTTCACAGACTTTCAAGCAGCACTGTAGTATACAGAAATGTTTGATCCCTGTAAGAACTGAGCCACAAACCTTCGCTGTGAGGAATCGCAGAAAGACACCAAACACGGAGCAAATGATGTGGATCTGATGATTCATCTGCAGCTCATCATGATAGTTAATCTGGTTTCCTCCACATGGCTGAATGAGTTTACATTACAGTAAGGTCAATAAGTGCATGTTAGCTGGAGTTCTTTAAGGCAAGACAGCACAGCTGAAGAGGAAACATGTTACTGATAGACAGACATCTCCAGACTTCCCCAGCTGATTAATGTTACATATGCAAATGAGGTATTATCTAATTTAATATATACTCATTTGCATATATTTCCCAAACATAAACTGGATAAAGCCAGGTTCATAATTCCTGTTTAATTTTGTTGACACATTAAAGGGTTTTCCAGAGGGGATTTCTCTTTTTATCACTCCATAAACCAGAAAATACTGTCAACAGATAGAAAACAAACACATTTTCACCATGTTTTCAGGAATAAAATGTAAAAATCAGTGTGAATTAAATACGAACACACTTCTCTGTAAAAGCCTTCAGAATATGGAGAGGAAAAGTTTGGCGTGCGTAAGTGTTTCCGAATTGGAGAAACAAACTCACCGCCTTTAAAGATATGGATTGAAACTGAACTCTACAGATGCAAATAGATAAAGTGCAAGTCAAGTCACCTTTATTTGTACAGCGCTTTATACAATAGTGGCTGTGTCAAAGCAGCTTTACAGTGTTAAACAGGAAAATAGTTTGTCAATGACGCAAGAAGACAATAACAGTCATTTTCCAGCTAAAGTCAGTTCATTGATGATTCAGTGATACAGTTCAGCTCTTTTGAATGTAACAGTTAGGATGCTTCATAAGTATTTTGCATGGCTAGTTCATGTCGAGAGGCAGGGCCTCGCGGTGAAGTGTTATAGAGCAGCAGCGTGTCGTGTCGTGCTCACTCACTCTTTGCTCTTTGCAGCGGCGATGTTCCTCGGCGGAGCGCTGCTGGTGTGCGTGTCCATCTACCTGTACGGACTGCCCAAACAAGACACCAGCAGAGTGCAGAAGCCCAGCACAGATGGAGAGGACACACAGAAACTCATCGCAGTCTGACGCGACGCATCTGCTGCTGGACATGAACGGACTACACTACAGCAGGAGCGAGGATAGGTGTTTGGAGTGAAGGAGGGTGGCAGTGGGCTGTGGGAAGGACTGGAACACTTTGGTTTTATGTTGTTTTTCTCTCTGTATAATTTCATTTATAGGTCTTGATGCAGATACACTGATGCCACAACACTACACTGAATGTACTAGGGCTGTCAAAAAAAAAAAATCGAATTTCGAATATTCGTCGAATTTAAAATAAAAATCCACATTCGATTCGAATTTTAGGAAAAGATAACATCAATGCGGAGAAGATGTTGTTTACCTCAAAACTGAAACCAAGCCGTGCACAGACCACATATTTTGCGCATTTTCTAGAGGGACATCTATCACCATTGCACTCGCGTCTCGCACAAGAGAGCCGCATGTTTAGAAAGCCATGTAAAATTAATGCAAGTTTAACTTTGAAAAAAACATATATCGAGACTTTATGGCGGGTTTTTCCCCATCCTTGGTTTATAAACATTATGCACTTTTTTCACAGATAGTCATGTTTTCTTATTTGAATAAATGTGCATTAGTAATATTTTGCTCGATGTGCCCTCTTGTGGCCTCAGGAGCTATTCAAAAAAAGTCAAAAGCTATTCTTCACTAACTAAAATTGTGCATTTTAAATTCGAATATGAATCGAACTTTGATCATATTTGAGTACAAAATTCGAATGTAGTTTTTCAGTCATTTTGACAGCCCTAGAATGTACATGTGCACTTCAGACAGGTTTGGGTTTAGATCGCCAATGTTATGTTCAAGCGTTCTTAAATATTGACACAAGCTGAACATAAGGGCCTTATGGGTTTGGATAGCCGACTGGTTTTAATTGCAGAGCAAATGTTGAATCCTGTGTTTAGGGGACGCCTCTTGATCCGGGACAGGCTCTGTATGGATTTATGAGGCAGAGCTTAAACGTGCTCGATTAAATGTGACACGGACACACTGCTAGTCCTGGACTACAGCGGGTCTGTACATGAAGTACATTACATTTATTCCACACAAAACTTTATTTGATGCGTTTAGAAATGGAGAAAGACCGGAGCTGCTGACAGCAGACTTGATGCCACATTTCAAAATCCAAAAATGTAAAAAACTTCAAATATGTAGAAAATATTCAGGTTTCATCTCGTCCACGGACTGGTTCATAATATGTGACCCTGGACCACAAAACCAGTCACAAGTGTCAATTTCTCAGAGATGCATTGTTGTTTATTCAGCTTTCCATTGATGTGTGGTTTGTTAGGACAATATTTGGCCGAGATACAACTATTTGAAAATCTGGAATCTGAGGGTGCAAAAAATCTAAATATTGAGAAAATCATCTTTAAAGTTGTCCAAATGAAGTTCTTAGCAATGCATATTACTAATCAAAAATTAAGTTTTGATATATTTATGGTAGGAAATTTACAAAATATCTTCATGCAACATGATCTTTACTTAATATCCTAATGATTTTTGGCATAAAAGAAAAATTAATTGTGACCCATACAATGTATTGT